AGAACACAACAAGGACATGATGTTCCCAGGTCTATTTGTGACCACAATTTCTCTTTTTGTTTTAAAAGCCTTTCAAAATGACATTTTTAGTCAACTGAGGGTTGAAGCAAATCCTTGGTTAGCACCATTGAAGCCATGTTGAATTACATCAGCCAAGGATGTGAGTACACTTAACTGATACTAAGCTACTTCAGTTTAGTTATGCATGTCAGATCCTTTACCTGGGTAGATATTTTTTCCAGTATTTTGGGGGCATAATATAAGTCAGGTGAAAGTGTGTTGCAAACCCATGAGCGGTACCTGACACTCAGTGGTAAACGGTATTTAAGCCACTTGGCAAACCTCACACGGGTCCAGTAATTGTAGGTGGATGAGTGCTTGCAGAGGGCCATTAGATTCTTGATGGAGGAAACGCTGCTGAAAGGCAGAAGAGGAAATGACAGATTTAATGAACAGTGGTCACAAGCTGAACTACAAAGAGCAACCGGTTTGGATGTTTTCCTACAGGAACGATCACCGCAGAACCAAGGCCAGGTGGTCCCTGTACAGAACCTGATGGCAAGACCCCTCCAAACCATAGTGCATGACAAACGACACCAGGGAAAAGGCTCAGACCAGTGAGAAGAGCGGCTGCATTTATGCCGGCAATGAGCTGAACTCTGAACAGGGCTGTGTCCTTCTGCTTCCACCACAGGAGAGAGCGCCGGGTCTTTTGTAGACAAAACATCAAAGCATTGACTCTGTGTCCTGGTTTTGCTGGGGCTGAATTGTAGAATCCCTTTTAATGTTTCAGCAGAGCTGGACTGCTTTCAGTGAACACAAGCTGGCATCATAGCTTTGGCCAGGATGGAACTGTTTTCCTCATGAAGCTGATAGGGTTGTTGTTTTCATTGCACTGGCAGATACTTACGTTTTTTGAGGATTCGCCTGCAGCTGTGATTACAGTTTCTTTTAGTTTCTTTTTCTTCTCTCTGCACAAGAGAAAAAGGAGGGGAAGTGAGAGCCCAGGGACTCTCTGGGATAGGTGACCTGGGACAGATGATCCAGGTATGATCCAAGTTGACCAATAAAGATGTATTCTATCCCATAAACGCCACACTTGCTATAAATTTTGGAGCTTGCAGGGGACAACCCCTTTCTGCTTCTTCTTCCACCCTTCAACCTCTTTCTGCTTCTTTTTCAGCCCCTTTGATCCCTTCCCTTTGTGATGGCAGTTCCTGAGGTTCACCCCTCCTGTCGTATCATCGTTGGTGTACGACCAGTGCCTGCTGTTTGTGAGCTGAGTGTAACTTTGATTGCTATATTATCATTGTTCCTATTATTCTTACAATTAATTGGCATTATTATTGTTTAGGTTTGGTTTATTTTAGTTACTAAATAGTCTTTATCTCAACTGATGAGTTCTTTATATTTAATCTCTCAATTCTCTCCCCCATCCCACCAAGAAGGTGGAGGGTGAGCGAATGAACTGTGTGTGTTTAGATGTTTGCTGGGTTAAACCACAACACTCTGGAATGAGAGGTCTCAGCATTAAAGGCAGGTTGCCATTGTTACCAATGGTTCAAAAAGCTGAAAGGTAGGGCTAGGTAGAGTGTCAGATATGTGTGAAAAGAAAGAGGTGTTTCATGCTGCTGGATAGGATTTAGCATGCAACTCAAATCCAGTAAAATGAGATTGTGCTTGTCATAGTCAGAGACATTAGAGCATATGCTTGGACACAGCAGGGCTGTTAGCAGAATCACTGCCGCCTGTCGCTGAGCACTCTATGTTGATCGTGGAGGTTTTATGCTTTTATGAAAACAGCTAATGATGACATGATTCAAGATTCTGTAAAGGGCTCAGAGGGAGACTCAGTAAAACATCAAATAATGATCCCAAACTTTTCATGCGTGACAAGCTATACGCAAAAGCGTCATTCTCACAGAGACTTAAAAGAAACAGCAGTTGGGACTGACTTCCAAAATGACAGGAAATTATTCAGGCCAATTTGTTACCTTAGACACATGCAACACCATCTGAATGAAGATGGTGGTATGCATCGTGAATGAAGCTGGTCACAGATGGTTACGAACACAGACATCTACAGATGACATTCCAAAGACTGTAAGAGGGAGAGGAGAAGAGAGAAGAGAGGAAAGGAGAGGAGAGGAGAGGAGAGGAGAGGAGAAGGATTAATGAGCAAAATATGACACACAAATCAGTAAGAGGAAGAAGTAAGCTAAATGATTATTGACATGAGAGTTGGAGTCTATCCAAGACCCGGTATCCCATGAGGTTTTTTCTGAGAAACCAAGGGATCACATGCTGCTGCTCACATTGCAAGAAGCAATTGCTGGATACTGTCTAGCCTGGTCCCTGGGTTTTCCCTAGGTCTGGATAGCTCATGACTATCCAAATATTTTATCTCAGGTCTTCTGTGTAACTTCATCAGAGCTCACAGACCTCCCCCCATACCCCCTGAATTGACTGACAACTTCAGGGCTCCAGGAAGGAAGCCGTTTTTTGGAGGATACTTAACAAAAATGACAGTGGAAAGCTTGTTCCCCTCCATACCGGCATGGAGATTGCTGGTATTGCAGCATCTGGTGGCAAAGTTTCTCTGCTTCCCAACGGGAGAGTGGAAAGCTGGATCACCGTCTTGGAGTAAAGAGACAGGTGTCAGTGGAAAAAAATAAAGCTTTTGTTCTTGACTGTGTTCATGTGAATGGAAAATCCAGGCAAGGAGACTGGAGAGGCGGCAGTTCACAGTGCCAGGTCTCCTGAGTTCTAATTTTGGATCAAAGTACTCCTAAACACCCCCGTTACACGTATTTTCAGAGGATGATTTCACAAGCTCTCACAGGAGCAGGGACTGAGCAGACATACATGCAGCATCTAAGGAATAAAAACTGTGTAAGTAAAAAACTATCATCTTTATAATCAGGGTAGACTACAGGATGGATGCAATCAGCACTATTTTAGAAAGCACTAGCTTGAGTGTGATGGGTGTAAGGGGGTCTTGGTTTACGGACCTCTGCTTTTCCTGCCTGCTCTTTCTGCCCAGTTCATCACATTTAACAGCCGTGTTGGTGCAGAGCCTGCCATGGTGCTCTTACCACTACCGCAGTGCTGGACACCTTGTATGCTTTATAGAGACAGAAAACTGGCAGAGACTTACTTGCATTTAAACTTACTTCTGTTTCCTCATTGGCATATCAAGAGTTACAAATCTTTTCTCTTCTCTTTATTTATGTTACAGATTTTTCTGTTTAGTTCTGTTTAGGCTTCCTTGCCAATGGGAATTAAACCTTTTTCAGGCAGTAGGGCACCTCTCTCTTGCACGCCCATTAAATAAGTCGCAATGCAAGTGGGTGGCTGTCTAGCAGCTATGAGTAAGCTACAAGAGGATGTCATTATTGCCAGACTTGGCCCAGTTTAATGTCAACCAAGACATTGTGGGGCAAAACTGACTGCAAACAAAAGCCAAGCCAACTGCACTGCTTGTCCTTGTCCAGATGCAGGCAAACAGAGAAGATTTATAAACTGGATTCATAAAATCCCTCCATTTCTAATATGATAGAGAGGTGTTTGCTTTTATTGTATATACATTGTGAGCTGACAACAGTGTTTTCCTTGGGCGCGAGCTGAAGTTTTGGCTCTACTTTTCTTTCACCAAACATGAGCCCTCTGAGATGAGTCACTGGTTGTTATAGCGGGCTGTGGGCTGCTGAACCAGGAAAAGGAGCCCTTGTTGCACAGAAAGGGAATGGAGAGATGGTGTTTTGCGGGTGACACGGGAAATCGGCACCACTTCCCTCAGCCAGCCAGCGCAGATTGCATGCAGAAGACCTACAAGCCTGGAGGAGATGGAAATAAAGCCAGGACTCCCTGGGACCCACTGGGGTTTGGGTACCACATTTAATCTCTGGTGAGCATCTAAGGGTTTGTGTGGCTCCACCGAAAGTTCCACATTAGCAATTCAGGTACTCAAATGAGTTGCAGCAATTCATTCCTGTAACCCTGGACCCCAAATCATCACCCACTCCTTGCTGCAACACATTAACCCTTTCCTCTCCCACCCCAGGAGAATCAATGGAGTTACGCAAGAGGAGCGTGTGGCTGGAGCCCTTGGAGCCAAGCAGGATTTTGTTTGGGTTTTTTTGCACTTCCTCTTATTATGAGAGTCATCGAATGAAAAAAAAAAGGATCCCGAGGGACAATTCAGTGAGTAAGGGATGTGTGATCACAGTTGTCCGACATTGACTTACAGAAACTACGGGATGAGGCAAGCCTTTTCACTTCGGCTGCTGCTGTCAGTGCTGGGACATTAATTACTGCTGATCTACAGCTCACCTTTTGTTAGTCAACAGGTGAGTGAGCTACCTGCAAAGCTGGCTCGCACGCTAGGTGTGGTCATATCGCAGCCTTGGCACTTACAGGGTAAATACTATTTAATATTAATAGCCAGAGCTGGGTGAGTGGTGCTCCTTGTAGGAAATTGGTTTCATCATGGCTACGCCCTGGCATGGTGGCACAACGGGGCTGTGCTTCTGTGTGAAGTGAGTCCCAGCTGCTGTAATGTGGAAGATAAAGAGATTATCAAGGTTAAAAAACCCACACACAAGTTCAGCAATGAGTGTGACCGGCCTGGGCAGGGCTTTGGTGAGGGGCTACCTCGGAAAGGTGGGCGGCCCAAGGGAAGCGGGCCTCCTGCCCTGCCGCCTCCTCTGCGCCCACTCAGCCTCCACCAACACCGCTAAGGCTTCCTCCCCCTCTCGCTGCTCTCCCGGGACGTGGTGCAGCCCCGTAGGGAGCCGGTGGGGGCGGCCGCAGGGAGCCGGAGGCGGGACGGCTCCTCCCCGGCGGGGCAGGCTGAGGGGGAAGCTGGGCGGTGAGGCGGGAACGGGCCGGGCTGAGGGGGAAGCAGGGCGGTGAGGTGGGAACGGGGCGGGCTGACGGGGCCGGGCTGAGGGAGGACAGAGCGAGGCCGGGTGAGGCGGGGGCGGCCCCGTCGAGGCATGATGTCGGGGGCGGCGAGGACGGCCATCTGCCTGCTGCGCTGCGACCTGCGTGCCCACGATAACCAGGTAGGGCCCGGCCGGCGGCCCCCGGGGTGTTTCGGTAGAAATAACCCCACTCCTGGGCAGGCTGGTGAGAGGTGTGCGCTGCATCCTGCCCGCCAGAGCTGTCACGGCCCTCTCTGTGTTTCCAGGTGCTCCACTGGGCTCAGAGCAACGCGGATTTCGTTATTCCCCTCTACTGCTTTGACCCGCGGCACTACGTGGGCACCCACTGCTACGGCTTCCCAAAGACAGGGCCCCATCGGCTCAGGTTTTTGCTGGAAAGCGTGAAGGATCTAAGGGAAACACTCAAGAGAAAAGGAAGGTAGTTGAGAAAGCACCATGTAAATAACATCTTATTTTCTTTCTCTTTTTCAACACATATTTGTGCTGTGAGTCATATCATGTCAGATACTCTGGGCTTTGATGGTGGCTTATTTCGGAGAGCCACAGTCCCGTTAGATGCAGCAAGGTCCTGTACATAGCCCCTGTTCAGATGATCTGCTGTGGCGTCTGCAGGGGAGCAAAGAGCCATCCAGGCTGTGTGCCACGCGGGGTTTTGCTTTCTTGACCTTGGATACCACAGATGGGCATCAACCTTCAACGCTTTGCCCAGAGCAACCTTGAGTGCTTTGCTCAGAATCCTGACAACTGGAGACATGATGGCAGTCTTCCGAAATGCAGGCAATGACACTAAACACTGTGGCGCACGTCCTTGTCCCTAGTGAATTTTCCCTAGGAGTTGGCTTGAGACAGACCAGCATGGATCCCGGCTTGTGAAACTGGAGAGTTACGATTGCTTATGCCTTGTGCCACTAAACCAAATCTCTTTTGTAGGTTGCACTATGGGAAGGGTATCTTCGGGGATTCCTCCTTCATTATGTCTTTAGAAATCATCACTGGGTAGTCTAGGGCCTGAAGGTCTACATGCTAAAAAATCCCGTTACCAGATAACATCTGGCTTTGCTTAGCTGAAGATGTGTCAGCCAGTCTGTCTTCTCCCAGAGCAACACAACAGTGGTAGCAGAATTTTGTAGGTTGCACTATGGGAAGGGTATCTTCGGGGATTCCTCCTTCATTATGTCTTTAGAAATCATCACTGGGTAGTCTAGGGCCTGAAGGTCTACATGCTAAAAAATCCCGTTACCAGATAACATCTGGCTTTGCTTAGCTGAAGATGTGTCAGCCAGTCTGTCTTCTCCCAGAGCAACACAACAGTGGTAGCAGAAGCAAGAGGAAAGGGATTCCCCCTTCATTATGTCTTTAGAAACCATCACTGAGTAGTCCAGGGCCTGAAGGTCTACATGCTGAAAAATCGCGTTACCAGATAACATCTGGCTTTGCTTAGCAGAAGATGTGTCAGCCAGTCTGTCTGCTCCCAGAGCAACACAACAGTGGTAGCAGAAGCAAGAGGAATGGCTTTGGGTTTGCAGTGCAGCATGAACTGTGCAGCTGGCTGACTGAAGGAATGGATCAGTGGGCATCTGATCACCCTGTGGTGATAAGACTCTAGGCTCCATTTCCACAACCATGAAGTATCTTAATGTAGTGGTAGACAGAAATCTCCACATCCAGTCTGTGGTGTTCCCTGTGGGCAGCTTGGTCCTAGCACAGACCTCTTGTTAGATGACACAGTAGTGTGTGTGTAACTGTGTGTGTGTGATAGAGACACGAAAAGGGACAGTCACACATGAGGCTCCTCACAGAAGTCTACACCCACCTCTGACCAACTTTCTCACCACAGCTGCTCTTTTGGTCTGGTGTGCTGGGTACACAGCTGGGCAGTTGGTGAGGCTGCAAGATGAGAGGGAAGTTTTGTTGACTCTGTTACAAGCACACAGCGTTCAGAGGAAAGAATTCCTCTGAACCCTCCCACATGAAAGCGGAGAGGGGTCTGCCCTCAGGCCACCACTACCTGTGAAGTGGATTGAGAGAGGATTCAGTTCTTGAATCTCAGCCTCAGTGTGTGAGGGTGAACAGATCTGTCAGATTTACTTTTAGGTAACAGCTTGGCTTTCTGCCCAGTCATCCTTTCTGAGGTATCTGGGGTGGTAGAAATGTGTTTAACACAAACTCAGCCCCAGAGGCTCACAAACTGTGTTCACTGGGTCCTAAAAAAATGTGGGCTAGTCAAATCCTGTCTTTCTGCCTCCACATGCTGTCTGTGCTCCGTAGAGAACTAATACATGGGTGCCTGGGCCAGAACTAGGATCTCCTGTATGCATACGTAACAGTAACATCAAACCTAATTCAGGGCAGTATTTTGTGTTTGCAGCACCCTGGTTGTGAGGAAGGGGAAGCCAGAAGATGTGGTCCGCGATCTCATTGCTCAGTTGGGCACTGTCAGTGCCGTGGCTTTCCATGAAGAGGTAAAGGAAATATTTGAGTGACGTTGTTAAATGATAAAATTAGGTTGTGGAGGTTTCTTCCACAACCAAATGGTGATGCAGATCCTGTATGTTCAGAGCCTTTTTCATCTGTGGTATTGTTAACCTTGGGGACACTGGCTGGTTCCTGGGATGGGGATGGTGTAGGTATCTGGGGGAGTCCTTGCTGGATGACAGTGGCTATTTGTGACTGAGGAAGAGGAGTTTCCTGCAACTGGCATTTTACGTCAGCTGAGCCCATTTCTCCTGTTTGCATCAAGCTGCCTTTTCCTGGCACCTTCCTTGCACAGGGAGCTAGCTGCCAGGGGGCATGTTGTCCTCAGTGTAGAAAAGGCCCGTAGTAAGCTGACAGCACCCATATTTAGGCAGTGGCCCACTAATGTGATGAAGAACAAAACACGAGTCTGGTCCCGGACTTCCAACAGGGTTGGCATGTCACTGACCTATCTTCACTGAGCTCAGAGGTTTGATCCAGAGCCTGCTGAATTCAGGGCAGGGCTCTGGGTCCAAACCAGTGGTCCTGGAGGCTTTGTGTACACACACACACGTATATGTGCATCCATGCACTCAGTATTAGCAGAGTCTGGGCTCTGTTGTAAGACCCTTGTAACTTGACAGCCTACACATCCCACAGTACCTTACTCCATGCAGCACTAAGCAACCACAGAGGACCAGACAAAAGGCCTCACCTAACTCCACAGCCTTTTTCCTGACAGTGACCAAGAACAGATGCCCAGGGAAGATCACAGGAGCAGGACAAATCTGTAAAGATACTTCCCCTGAATGCTTTCCCAGCCTTCAAGAATCTGTGGCTTAAGGATGTCTTGAAACAGGAATGCTCTTGTGATAGTTAATGACCCTCAGTAGATTTCTTTTACATATATTTGTCCAGTCACCTTTCCAGTCCATGCAAACTTCAAAGATCTGTAATGTCCTACATCAAGGAGTTTCTTAGTCTGGCACTGGCGCTTAATGGAGAGTGAAAGCACTTGTTGGGTTTGGCAGAGGGAAATACTCAGAGGTTGTCTGTATGCATCTTTCTCTAAACGGATGAAGCTAAATGTGGAAATGAGGGAGGAGGGCAAGACCAGGGACCAGGGTCTGCATGCAGGAGCTGAGGCCATGCAGCCAGGACCTCACTGTGTTTTGTTCTCCCTAGGCCACGCAGGAGGAACTGGATGTGGAGCAGGGGCTGTGCCAGGTGTGCAGTCAGCACGGGGTGAAGATTCAGACGTTCTGGACATCCACGCTGTATCACCGGGACGACCTTCCCTTCAGGCCTATTGCCAGGTGAGCTGCTCTGTGATATCACTCTCTCCTCTACTGCCCCATTTGCTTCTCACTCCAGTGAACTGCTCAGGAGGGATCTTAGTCACCCAGTCCTGTTAGGAAGGGACCCATTTATGTGCATTTGTGAAACAGTGCTGTCATGCTCATATACATCATGGGGAGGGGCACATTCATCCCTCTGTACAAGTAGGATTTGTGCTCTGATACGTGTAAAACCGAGGGGTTTGTTTGACCATTTACTGAGGAACTGATTTCTCTTTGCCCTTCCACCAGCACGGTTTGGATACTCAGTCTGCAGAGCCCAGTCCTTGTGACGTTGGACTGGATCACTCCATTATCCCATTTAAATGCAGCTGCCTATGACAGTGTCCATTCCTGTGTGGACTCTTCACAGCTCCCTCAATAGTCACTTGAGGTGTAGTTGATGGATTTGAGTAATTCCTGGTATCCTACAGAAAATGTATAAAATAAAGTATATGTAAATAAATGTATAAATGTATAAAAGAGTCAGGCCATAAACGTGCCTGTTTCTCTCCATTGACTGAAAAGGTAGCAGAAGGTTGCAAATTTTTACATGGAGGTCAGCCTGGTGAGTAATTACAAGTTGGGTGAGATAAATCTGACCTTCATGGATTGCCCCATCAAGACACACCTTAAATTGAAAAGGCAACATTTGCATCAGAAGCAGAAAGAAATTGGGTGGAGGAATGAACTTCCTATTGCTGCTGGCCCCAGGGGCATCTGCCTCTTTTGTGCCAGCTGGTGTACAAACAGGAATCACAAATATGCAGAGCACAACCCAAAAAGTTAACCCTCCACCTGTGGAAGTGGTGCTATGTGGAGAGATCTGACTGTGCTGTAATCTGTGCAGGTTGCCCGATGTCTACACACATTTCCGAAAAGCGCTGGAATCTCAGGCGAAGGTGAGACCAACCCTACAGATGGCAGATCAGCTAAAGCCTCTGGCTCCAGGGGTGGATGAAGGATGTATCCCTACAATGGAGGATTTGGGACAGAAGGGTAAGAAAACTTAATTTGGCAGCTGATCCCATGAAATCCTACTTAGAGATGTCTCTTAGTGAGAATCAAACCATGGAGGTCTTCCAAAGCAGTGATTGCCCTTTCAACTGTAACTAACCCTCTGTTCACTCATACAGCAAATGAAGGTAAATTCCCTCTGTGGAGGAGCTGGGTTTGGCAAGTCCTACAACTGGGTAGAAAACATCATCTTAACCAGCAATTTGCAGTATGTCTGATGTGGCTTTTGTTTCAAAGGAAGACAATCTTTACTTTCCCCAAAGCAAACATCCCTACCGCTGAACACTCCTTTGAGATGGTTTCCAAGGGGGTCACGAGGTGATGGCGTTTTCTGTGGCAGATCCTGGGACTGATCCACGAACAGCCTTCCCCTGCAGTGGAGGAGAGACCCAGGCTTTAATGAGACTGCAGTATTACTTCTGGGACACGGTAACTCTTACATTTCCTTGTCTGCATCCTGCCCCTTGTACCTATGGCTGTGCAAGTGCGTGAGGCTGCAATTTCACTTCCTAATCGTGTCTCCTTAGCTCCTGTATAATATTTTACAAAGGAGGGAATTAGCAGTATTTCAGTTTTTCAGAAAGGCAAACTAAATAAGAAGTCATCCAGGACCTGGGAATGTAAGCCAAATCCTTAGGGAACCTAAGTTTAGTGGCCATCCCTCTTAAGTCTTTTTTTCCATCAACTTTTGAGAACTGGGACAATTTTTTTAGCTCCTTTACCTTGATTTTCCCTTTCTACTCTCCTGTTCCATGTCATTAGCAAGGCAGTTCTTCAATTTTGAAGGAGTGCAAAGTGCCCTTAAGGGCTGCAATTGCAACTGGGGTGAGGAACAACCGTCCCAAGCTGCTGCCCACAGTTAAAAATAGTAGGAGGTTCCTAGTAGTCTGGTTTAAAAACATGCAGGCAATTGCTTGCTTGCTTTGGTGGAGTGAAGCTGCTGCTGACTGCATTTTGTCTGTGCATCCTGGCTGTTTTTGAACCTTTTCCTGGTCTGCTTTGAGAAACTACCTCAGATTTGCCTAGTGTGAATTTTAGATGAAGACACGTGTGGTGATTTCCAGCAGCATCAGACCCTGTGCAGCTTTGTGGGTAAAGGGGGTAGCATCACTCCAGCTGAGGTGGGTTAAGAAGTGTGCTGTGTCCAGTGCGGTCACTGGGACAGCCCCCAGGGGATTCTTTGAGCTCACATTCGCTGTCGGGAGCACTGTCGTGGTTTAACCCTGGTTTTCAGCTCAGCCCCATGCAGCTGCTCCCTCATTCCCTGCCAGAAGGGCAAAAGTGGGAAAACTCCTGGTTGAGATAAAGACAGTTTAATAGGTAAAGCAAAAGCTGCATGCACAAGCAAAGCAAAACAAGGAATTCATTTACTGCTTCCCATCAGCAGGCAGATGTTTGGCCATTTCCAGGAAAGCAGGGCTCCATCACACGTAACAGTTTACTTGGGAAGACAGACACTGTAACTCTGAACATCGTCACCCTTCCTCCTTCTCCCCCCAGCTTTATATGCTGAGTATGACATTACATGGTATGGGATATCCCTTTGGTCAGTTGGGGTCAGCTGTCCCAGCTGTGTCCCCTCCCAATCTCTTATGCACCCCCAGCCTACTGCTGGTGGGGTGGTGTGAGAAGCAGGCCTTGAGGCTGTGTGAGTGCTAATTAACTGACTGATAACGAAACAGCAATAACTAAAACATCCCTGTGTTACCAACCCTGTTTTCATCACAAATCAGAAGCTTAGCCCCTAACAAGCTACTATGAAGAAAATTAACTCTACCCAGCCAAAACCAGTACAAGCTTGCATAGCTTCTGCTCTTAGTCAAGCATTAATACAATCAGAGCTGGAAAACTTGTTCCTTCCTTTTTGTTATGCTAATATTGTCTTCCCCTGTGAGCTGGAACAGCCCTTTAGCAATTGTAACCTGTGCAGCGAAGGGGATCAAGGAGAGATCTCAGGGGATCAAAGAGAGATCCTGCTTCCCTCTGCCCTCAGGGATCAGCACAGCCAGGTTGCTAGTGCTCATAGAAATGTGCTATGGGCTGAAGCAGGGAGCTTAGCTTGTGACACGCATCCCGGAGCTATAATGAAAACTGCTGGCCTGATTAATTCCTGTGCACTGGAGGCAGTAATTTGGCAGCTCTGTAATCCTTGCAGGCAGCCATGAGAGGGAGCCCAGCCCTGCCAGATTGCCCTGGCTCCACTGAATAGAAACATATTTAGCAGGTTGCATGTAAGGTATTAAAACCTTGTGTTCTTTTGCTTGTGCAGAACCTGGTTGCATCTTACAAGGAGAATCGGAATGGACTGGTGGGAATGGATTACTCAACCAAATTTGCACCATGGTAAATATTTTTGGCTTTGTGCTGGTTTGTGCATCAGGGGTGGTTGAGAACAGCCAGGGAAGAAGCGCAGCTTCAGCACATTGATGGGGCTGCAGCAGAACTTGATCCAGTCCTAGTTTGCTGAATACTGGGGGGGAAGTCACCTCACCTCACTGCCATTCTGTTCTTCTGTGGGGTGAAGAGACGCTTCTCATTAACCCTCTTGCAAAAGGATCTCTTCTTTGGGTATATATGCTGACTTTAATTAGGGGCTTTACTCTCTGGTGCTGGAAGGGGCAGAGTTAATTCTGGACTTGAACTGCAGCAGCAGAACCCAGTTCAGCGTAATGCTGAGAACATCTGGAGTGTTTTCCTGACAGTATTGCAATGTGCAACAATTTTCTGAGGCTGTTACAGGTCAGGATTTCTTATTTTCATCCAGCTTTATGCTGTAATGGTTGCAGTGGATGGCTCCACCTTGTGGCGTGTTGGGATCCCAGGACCACCAGCACTACAGAAGTTCATTATTTGTGGCCTTCACTCGAGTTTTTCCAGTCTGGCCACTTGCCCAGAGCAGTGTCCTGATCTGCCTGCCCCAAAGTGTCCCTCAGTCAGATAATCAAAATCAGACCGGTTCAGATTGCAGCCAGTCGTTCACATCTCATACTGACCATTTCTAAGTATTAGAGCTGGTCAGCAATTAAGGAGAAACTCATCAGGCCCTTTCTTCCTGTTTTTCAAAATTCATCAGAACTTCAACTGTTTCCACAAGCCCTAGTAGGAAATTGCACTAAAACACATTTCTAGGAAAATCAAGGTAAAAGTTGTTCCTTTTATCACCCTTTGTGATGGGGTTGGAGTTTACGAGCTCTTTCCTCTCTTGAACAGAACTGATTTGGAACAAGTGGAAGGAGCCCAGTGGGTGGAAAGGCCCAAATTGGGTTTGATTCCCTGGCTGAGATTTGCATCAAGTCACTTGACTTCTGTGGTTGCTCGAATGAGAGACTAAGGCACTGAAGGAACAGGAGCCCTGGGTGTCTGATAAACAGCTTTGTAGTAAAAGGAGGGATTTGATTCTCAAAGAGTTGCAAAGAAGTGATAGAACTTGCAGAGGTCTTCAGATACCAAATCTAAACCACAAAAGCTGCCCCTTTGCTCTCTCTGCGCAGACATGGGGCTGCATCGCATTCAGGACATCACTCTTCTGCTTTCAGGCTGGCGCTGGGCTGCATTTCACCTCGCTACATCTACGAGCAGATCCAGAAGTATGAAAAAGAGAGGGCAGCAAATCAGAGCACATACTGGTACGTCGCTGCACGACCGCCGTGGCTTGTTTTGTCTGAATAGGAAACTGGCATCTTGTGCACAGGAGAGAGGGATTTGTTAACTTGCTTCTTAATTAAGGTTTGTTTTTCCTGTGCCTGCTGTCGGGTTCCTCTGGGTTGCGTTGCAGTTCTGTTTCAGTATGGATTTATTAGTCTGCCTTTGACATCCGGAGGCTTGAGGCACTTTACAAGTAAAGGTTATTAATGTTAGTTGTCATTGTTATTGCTGGGAAACTGTGGTTCGTGATTTTTCAAACTGATCTCTGTAAATCATTGCCATCTCTCTCTGTGTTGTTATTGTGGGCTAGATGAGAAGGAAGAAGAACGATTTACAGATAAAAGCTGAAGGGTTTCTCATGCCAAGAATGTGAGCACCCAAAATGCTCAGGGACTGTGACATGCGGTGTCAGGAGGACCCTTGATTGCTCAGCTGCCTGGCCATGACCATAACACCATAGCAAAGGGGAAGAGGGATTAATGCATCCCACCTTGTCATCCTTGCTCTACACCCTTTTCTTCAAAGAGAACTAAGGGAGGAAAGATTTCAAAAAATGAATGTACTTGTGTTTTTCTGTCTAATAGCCAGCCAGCCCGCCTGCAGCCAGGGTGCTGTGGTGAGCTGAGCATTTTAAAGTGGTAAATAGTTATAAAAAAGAAGCTATCGAACTCCCAGGCACTGCATTCACTCGTACAGTGAAGCACAGGTCATGATGGTGCACATGATACCCCCAGTATCATGACACTAGTTGTTAGCATTTATATAGTGTCCTGTTCTGTAATCAGGATTTCCAGAAAGATCTTAAAATCATTTTATAAGAAGCACTTTTTATATAAAACTTTATTAAAAATGTCTGTTTTCTGTGATCTCATGAGCTAGACCACTGCAAACCCAGTTTTGAAAGATACTTTTGAGTCCCTTACAAAGATTATTGCTTAAATCAATGCAAAGCTCTTAGGAATGTGCTGACACGCTTGCTCATGCGGAAGTGTGAAGCTGAATCAGGTCCTCGCCCTGCTCTGTGGAGAATTACATCCATGGATGGGAAACAGCCTTCCTGAAATCCTGCTTCTGTTAAAGAGTTAAGGAAGGCTTCCCAAGTGACTCATGCAAAGTTTTGCTTTCACTGTACTCATCCAGGTGCAAGGTAGGTAGCAGGCTTGGGGCAAGAACTGCTTATCATGGGAAGGTGCATGAAATTGCTTCTTGGTGTTAATGATGAGTGCTATGGAAGTGAAATCCTAATTCAGTGATTTTATCTGTCCCATAGTGAAATACAAACATGGCTTTGTGTTTCAGGGTCCTGTTTGAACTGCTGTGGCGGGATTACTTTCGATTTGTGGCCCTGAAGTATGGCAAAAGGATTTTCTCATTAAGAGGTGTGTATGGGTCGCTGTATTTGGAAAGGTAGAGTCTTACAACAGAGAAAGTAAGAGAAGAGGCTGTCACCATTGTGTTATACAAATGTTCTTCTCATAGCGCCTGTGTCTCCACTCTGAGACATTGCTGGGGACTTACTCTTGGCACAGAAGTGCCTCAACACCATGATGCTGGACGCTGTGTAGGCACTCAGACTTTTGCCTCAAATCTGTTTAGATACAGGGAGTATTATTAACACGGTGGGAAACAGCGGCACAATGGGAGTAAAGGTGCTGTTTCCGGAGCCACTCCACCTTTGGAGAGAATCCAGGCTTCATTAGGTTTGCCTAAGTTCACCAGAGCAGGAGTCGACCCAGAGATTCAGCTCCAGACCCAGTCACTTACATGCAGGTGTCTACACGTGAATTCTTAGTCCATATCATCACGAAACCTGACAGCTGATGCCTGTGGTGGCTGAGCTGTTCTCCATGTGATGTAGCTGTGAGTAACATTGAACAAGAAAATACTGGCTTGGGCCAGAGCACATCTCTGGCCACTTGTGAGGTCTGAGTCATTTTTAATTAAAAAAAAAAAGAAAAGAAAACACCAACAGAACAAATAATCAAAATCCATTAGGGCTCGAGCATCCTCCCTGTGCAGGAGGCACCCCTCAAAAGGAGGAATGCATCATCTCTAAACTTTTGCAGAAGGAACGTGGTGTGTTTGTAAGGGCTGACTTCATCCTAACGTCTTGTGTCGGCCAAGGTGCTTCTCTCTGTTTTACTAATAACTGCCTGCGTCAGCATTTGTCTTTCATTAACAGTTCATTTTTTTTCCTCCATAGGACTTCAAAGTAAAGAGGTCCCCTGGAAAAAGGACCTTCAGCTCTTTGACTGTTGGAAAGGTCAGTAGACACCACAGGCTTGGCTAAGCGTGCTTTTGGTTTCCATGTGTCTGCATACTAACACGTGCCCTAATGCCAGTTCATATTTATGTAGGGGATCTGTCAGCATGATCAGGCCTTGCCATTTAAACTCTTTCCACCAAACAAGAATCCAGCCCCTCAGTTCAGTGTGAGTGCAGGATCCTTGGCTTCCCTTCCCAGACTGAGCACCACACAGGAGCTGACCCACAGGGGATCAGGTGGCCAGGCTCTGTCTGGTACATGCTTTGGGAGATGCTCTGCATTGAAGATTTTCCTGCCCAGGTGGAATTATTTACAACCCATTGGTTCCTTCTGTTTGGTCACACAGAGGCTGACCAGTGCTTCTTATCAGTGCTAGGTTGCCATGCCTGCTACATTGTGTTCTTCTGACTGGTTTTGGTTAGAACAGCCTTAGAATAAATCACATCTTTCATTATGCCACAGCCTTTTAATATCCTTGCTTTTCTTTCACTTTTATAACTTTGGTGTCACATAGATAGCAAGCGTAATATCTCCAATTAAAACCAGGAGGGACTAACAGAGTAAAGTAACAGAATCAGTGAAATACACACCTATATATCTTTCTTGACATTAATGCCATGTGTGTCCGTTTGCACACAGGCACAATGAATCTTTTCCTTATCAATAGCCAAGACTGCTTTTTGGGTGCTAACCCCTGGGGACTCGTCCAATACTTTCCTCTCTGCTAGTGGTCGCCTCTCAAAAATGTTTCTGTTCTTGGCTTATCCAGCTCCTGTGTGTGTATTTACTTTGCTCTGCAAAATTCTCTGCAATCCACCTGATTCGTTGTTTTCCCAGTCTGAAAGTTTTCAGTTCGTTGGTTTTTTTTCTTGCAAAAAATTCTCCTAATTTTAATTTTCAGTATAATTTCCCATTTAATTTCCAGCTAAGCCTCACTGAAATCATACACTGGTCCTGTCTTACCTGCTTGGGTGGCTGCGAATGTGTGACCACAGGTTGCTTTCTGGGTGCCCAAAAACGTCATCACATCCCAGCGCTGTCTTTTGTCTCTGCAGAGGGCAAAACGGGCGTCCCTTTTGTCGATGCCAACATGCGGGAGCTGGCTGCGACGGGCTTCATGTCTAACAGAGGGCGGCAGAACGTCGCCAGCTTTCTCACCAAGGACCTGGGTCTGGACTGGAGGATGGGGGCAGAATGGTTCGAATCCCTCCTGGTAAGCCTGAACCCAGCCTGTGTTTGTGCCCCCTGCTCTGAGCGACGGACAGGAGGACAGCTCTGCATAATACCCCATGCAGCGCTACAGGCTTGGGGACG